GCAGTTCATTCTTGATTTGGCTCTCTTTAAGTCTGTTATTGGTGTATAGAAATGCTTGTGATTTTTGCACATTGATTTTATATCCTGAGACTTTTCTGAAGTTGCTTATCAGTTTGAGATTTTGGCTGAGATTATGGGGTCTTCTAGATATACAATCATGTCATCTGCAAATAGAGACAGTTTGACTTCCTCCTTTCCTAATTGAATACACTTCATTTCTTTTTCTTGCCTGATTGCTCTGACTAGAACTTCCAATACTATATTGAATAGGAGTGGTGAAAGAGGGCATCCTTGTCTAGTGCCTGATTTCAAAGGGGATGCTTCCAGCTTTTGCCCGTTCAGTATGATATTGGCTGTAGGTTTGTCATATATAGCTTTTATCATTTTATGATACATTCTGTCAATACCTAGTTTATTGAGAGTTTTTAGCATAACGCGCTGTTAAATTTTGTCAAAGACCTTCTCTGCATCAATTGAGATAATCATGTGGTTTTTGTTTTGGTTCTGTTGATGTGGTGAATCCTGTTTATAGACTCGCGTATGTTGAACCAGCCTCACATCCCCGGGATGAATCCTACTTGATCATGGTGGATAAGCTTTTTAATGTGCTGTTGCAATCGGCTTGCCAGTATTTTATTGAAGATTTTTGCGTCTATGTTCATCATGGATATTGGCCTGAAGTTTTCTTTTCTTGAGTCTCTGCCGGGTTTTGGTATCTGGATAATGTTGGTCTCATAAAATGATTTGGGAAGGATTCCCTCTTTTTGGATTATTTGGAATAGTTTCAGGAGGTATGGTAACAGTTCCTCTGTGTGTCTGGTAGAATTCGGCTGTGAACCCCATCTGGACCTGGGCTTTTTTTGTATAGTAGGCTCTTAATTGCTGCCTCAACTTCAGATCTTGTTATTGGTCTACTCATGGTTTCAACTTCTTCCTGGTTTAGGCTTGGGAGGATGCAAGTGTCCAGGAATTTATCCATTTCTTCCAGGCTTACTAGTTTATTTACATAGAGTTGTTTGTAATATTCTCGGATGATGGTTTGAATTTCTGTGGGATCTCTGGTGATTTCCCCTTTATCGTTTTTTAATTGCATCTGTTTGGTTATTGTCTCTCTTTTTTTTTATTAATCTGGCTAGTGGTCTGTCTATTTTGTTGTTTGTGTTTTTTTTGAAAAACCAGCTCCTGGATTTATTGATTTTTTTTTGAAGAGTTTTTTGTGTCTCTATCTCCTTCAGTTCTGCTCTGGTCTTAGTTATTTCTAGTCTTCTGCTAGGTTTTGAGGTTTTTTTTAAATCTTACTCCTCTAGCTCTTTCAATTTTGACGATAGGGTGTCAATATTGGATCAATAAGTGCCCACTCTTCTCATGTGGGCACTTATTGCTATATATTTTCCTCTAGAGACTGCTTTAAATGTGTCCCAGAGATTCTGGTGTGTTGTGTCTCCGTTCTTATTGGTTTTGAAGAATTTCTTTATTTCTGCCTTCATTTTATTGTTTATCCAGTCAACATTCAAAAGCCAGTTGTTCAGTTTCCATGAAGCTGTGTGGTTCTGAGTTAGTTTCTGAATTCTGAGTTCTAACTTGATTGCACTGTGGTCTGAGAGACTGTTTGTTACAATTTCCGTTCTTTTGCATTTGCTGAGGAGTGATTTACTTCCAATTATGTGGTCAATTTTAGAGTAGGTGTGATGTGGTGCTGAGAAGAATGTATATTCTGTGGATTTCGGGTAGACACTTCTGTAAATGTCTATCAGGTTTGCTTGTTCCAGGTCTGAGTTCAAGTCCTGGATATCCTTGCTAATTTTCTGTCTGGTTCATCTGTCTAATATTGACGGTGGAGTGTTAAAGTCTCCCACTATTATTGTGTGGGAGTCTAAGTCTCTTTGTAAGTCTTTAAGAACTTGCCTTATGTATCTGGGTGCTCCTGTATTGGGTCCATATATATTTAGGATCACTAGTTCTTCTTGTTGCATCGATCCTTTTACCATTATGTAATGTCCTTCTTTGTCTCTTTTGATCTTTGTTGCTTTAAAGTCGATTTTATCAGAGACGAGAATTGCAACTCCAGCTTTTTTTTTTTTTTTTTGCTCTCGATTTGCTTGGTAAATCTTCCTCCATTCCTTTATTTTGAGGCTTTGTGTATCCTTGCATGTGAGATGGGTTTCTCAGACACAGCACACCGATGGGTTTTGGCTTTTTATCCAATTTGCCAGTCTGTGTCTTTTGATTGATGCATTTAGCCCATTTACATTTAGGGTTAATATTGTTATGTGTGAATTTGATCCTGCCATTTTGATGCTAGCTAGCTGTTTTGCCCATTAGTTGATGCAGATTCTTCATTTTGTTGATTCTCTTTACCATTCGGTATGTTTTTGGAGTGGCTGGTACTGGTTGTTCCTTTCTATGTGTAGTGCCTCTTTCAGGAGCTCTTGTAAAGCAGGCCTGGTGGTGACAAAATCTCTGAGAACTTGCTTGTTTGCAAAGGATTTTATTTTTCCTTCACTTCTGAAGCTCAGTTTGGCTGGATATGAAATTCTGGGTTGAAAGTTCTTTTCTTTAAGGATGTTGAATACTGGTCCCGACTCTCTTCTGGCTTGGGGTTTCTGCTGAGAGATCTTCTGTGAGTCTGATGGGCTTCCCTTTGTGGGTAACCCGACCTTTCTCTCTGGCTGCCCTTAGCAAATTTTCTCCTTCATTTCAACCCTGGTGAATCTGACAATTATGTGCCTTGGGGTTGCTCTTCTTGAGGAATATCTTTGTGGCATTCTCTGTATTTCCTGGACTTGAATATTGGCCTGCCTTGCTAGGTTGGGGAAGTTTTCCTGGATAATATCCTGAAAAGTATTTTCCAGCTTGGATTCATTCTCTTCGTCACATTCAGGTACACCTGTCAAATGTAGATTGAGTCTCTTCACATAGTCCCACATTTCTTGGAAAGTTTGTTCATTCCTTTTTACCCTTTTTTCCCTAATCTTGCCTTCTTGTTTTATTTCATTGAGTTGATCTTCGATATCCTTTATTCTGCTTGGTCAATTCGGCTGTTGATACTTGTGCATGATTCGTGAAGTTCTCGTGTTGTGTTTTTCAGCTCCATCAATTCACTCATATTCCTAAGTTGTCCATTCTTGTTATCATTTCCTCAAATCTTTTTTCAAGGTTCTTAGTTTCTTTGCATTGAGTTAGAACATGTTCTTTTAGCTCACAGAAGTTTCTCATTACCCACCTTCTGAATTCTGATTCTGTCATTTCATCACACTCATTCTCCATCCAGCTTTGTTCCCTTGCTGGTGAGGAGTTGTGATCCCTTGTAGGAGGAGAGGTGTTCTGGTTTCAGGTGTTTTCCTCCTTTTTGCACTGATTTCTTCCCATCTTTGTGGATTTATCCACCTGTCTGTGTAGTTGCTGATTTTCAGATTGGTTCTCTGAGTGGACGTCCAGGTTGTTGATAATGAAGTTATTTCTGTATCTTAGTTTTCCTTCTAACACTCTGGCCCCTCTGCTGTAGGACTGCTGAGGTTCACTCCAGGCCCTGCTTGCCTGGGGATCACCTGTAGCAGCTGCAGAACAGTAAGGGTTGCTACCAGTTTCTTCTTCTGCTATCTATGTACCAGAATGTTGCCTGCCAAATGTCGGTCTGATCAGTCTTTTGTGAGGTGACTCTTTGGATATACGGGGGTCAGGGAGCTGCTTAAGGAGACAGTCTGTTTTTTATAGGAGCTCAAGTGTTGAGATGTGAGCTTCGTTGTTCATTCAGAGCTGCTAGGTGGGTACATTTAAGTTTGCTGCAGCAGAACTCATAAACTGCCTTTGTTTCCCCAGCTGCTCTGTCCTGGGGAGTTAGGGCTTTATTTATGAGTATCCGTTGTGCTGCTGCCTTTTTTTTTTCAGGGCTGTCCTGCCCAGCAAGGAGGCAGCCTAGACTCACTCTGGCTGCAGAGGCTTTGCTGAGCTGGTGTGGGTTCTGGCCTGCTGCTGGCTCCGCCCTGCTGCCATGTGAGCTTCCCTGCAGTCCTGTTTATATGGGTGTGGTTAGAACTGCCTCGGCGATGGTGGCCCACCTCTGTAATGGCGGACTCTCTCTGTTATGGCAGGTTGCCTTGGCAATGGCAGGCTGCCTCAGCAATGGCAGACTACCTCCATAGGGGTGGAGTGCCTTGGTAATGGTGGACGCCCCTCCCCCACCGAGCTGCACCATCCTGGGTTCAGCTGTGCTTGCCATGAAACTCTCAACCCTGAGCATTTCCAATTGCTGTTTTCTTTGTTTTTGTGGGGGTGGGACCTGCCGAGGCTGATCACCTGGCTCCCTGCCTCAGAGCCTTTTTTTTTTTTAAGTTGAATGGTTGACTCTCCCCCAGGTGTTCCAGTTGCCTGCTGAAAGGGCACTGTGATCTGTGTGATTTCCCATGCGGTGACCCACTGCACTGGCTGAAACAATGGTGCTGCCTGGGAATCTCCTGGCCTGTCTCCCTGTTTCAGACCCGTTTAATCAGGTGAATGGGTGAATCTGCCTTCCTGCAGCGCCAATTACCAGCTTAAAAGGGCAACCAGACCAGTGTATTTTGTATGAAGAGCCGCCATGCTGCGGCTGGCCAAACAGCTGCACCGGGTGAAACAGCCGTGCTTGCCAAAACATCTGCACTGGCAACCTGTAGGGCTCCTCTGCCTGGGAATCTCCTGGTCTGTGGGCAATAAAGATTCATCTGGAAATGCAGCGTCCACTCACCCTCTGTGCTTTCTCTGGGAGCTGCAATCCTGAGCTGCTCCTAAAGGGCCATCTTGGATCGATCTCCTAGAAAGAAATTTTTATCTGTCTTTTTTGGCTTCCGACACTTGTTCAGAGTTCTGGTCTGAGTAATGTAATTTTATTTTTAATTTAATTTAATTTATTTAATAGAGACAAGTTCTCACTATGTGACCCTGGCTGGTCTCAAACTCCTGGCCTCAAGCAATCCTCCCACCTCGGCCTCCCAAAGGGCTGGGATTACAGGTGTGAGGCACCATGCTCTGCCATAATGCAATTTTAGACTCCAAGTTCCAATAATTCTATCCTTGGTAGGGAATCTGTTTGGGGGAAGTCTTATTAAGAACTCTTCTTTATTTCATAATGGCAGGAGAGGCTTATTGTCATTTGTACATACTTTGTTCTCTCAAAACCCTTTCTTTCCATGTGGCACCAACACAGCACAGAGTGCACAGGTTACTATGATACCCTTCCAGTTAAGGAGGCTGATGGGAACCAGCCCCATTTTAAGGGAGTGACCAGCCTGAGGAACTTGGGCAACACATGCTACACAAATGCCATCTTATAGTGTCTCTGCAGTATCTCACCACTGGTGGAATACTTCCTCTCTGGGACGTACATCACTGCTTTTCAAAAGTAAGACCATCTGCATTCCCTGCAGCCCAGCCCTAAACCCACTTACAGGTGAGGTTAGAGAAGGAACTCTGGAATCCCCATTAAAGGCTAACCAAGTCAGTAGAGGTTGTATCTTCCCAGATAACATGCTAGGGTAAGTAAAAGTGTGAAGGGCAACCAAGAAATGAATGCAGCTCCTTTTTTTTATTTTTTATTTTTGAAACAGGGTCTCATTCTGTTGCCCAGGCTGGAATGCAGTGGCACGATCTCAGATCCCTGCAACCTCTGCTCCTCACATTCAAGCCACTCTCCTGCCTCAGCCTCCTGAGTAGCTGGGATTACAGGCACATGCCACTATGCCTGGGTAACTATTTTTTGTATTTTAGTAGAGACAGGGTTTCACCATGTTGGCCAGGCTGTTTTCGAACTCCTGATCTCAGGTGATCCCTGTCCCCATCCTGACCCACCACCTCGGCCTCCCAAAGTGCTGGGATTACAGTTGTTAGCCACTGAGTCTGGCCCTTCTTTTTTTTTTTGAGATGAAGTCCCTCTCTGTCACCCAGGCTGGAGTGCAATGGCAATTTTGGCTCACTGCAACCTCTGACTCCTGGGTTTAAGCAATTCTCTTGTTCAACCTCCTGAGTAGCTGGGATTATAGGTGACTGCCACAACACCTGGCTAATTTTTTTATATTTTTAGTAGAGACGGATTTTCTCCATGTTGGCCAGGCTAGTCTTGAACTCTTGACCTCAGGTGATCCGTCCACCTCGGCCTCCCAAAGTGCTGGGATTACAGGCATGAGCCACCTCACCTGGCCCTTTTTTTTTCTTTTAAACAGAGTCTTGTTCTGTCACCCAGGCTGGAGTGAAGTAGTGGTATTATCACAGCTCACTGCAACCTCGACCTTCTGGGAGCTCAAGCAATTCTCGTGCATTGGCCTCCCCAAGTGCTGGGGTTACAGGTGTGAGACACCACACTTTTCCATTTTGGTACTAACTTCCCAGGCCTGGGTGATTACATGCCTTCTTTTCATTAAATCAGCCAGAATCATATCCCTTTCTTCTTCCACGCGATTGCAGTGAGGTTGTCGTGGCTTTTGCCTACCTTATGACAGACATGTGGCTTGGAGACTCAGACTGTGTCTCAACAGAAATATTCCAATCAGCTCTTGGCAACCTCTACCCAAAATTTACGAAAAAGACACAAAAAGATGGTCAGGAATTCTTGATTTATGTCCTAAATGAACTTCATGAAGCTCTAAAAAATGTGAGTAGAATTAATGACATTAAAATAAGATAGTCCTGCACCTTTATCAGCAACTTCCATTTTTCATTCTTTTACTTGTTCAGTTAATATTGTCTACTTTATGCCAAGCATTGTGCTAGATGTTCCATGGAGAACATTCAAGTTAGCATCTGAATGTGGCCATAGTTACCAAACTTGCTTGTCATAGAACCACCTGGGAAGATTTTAAAACACAGATTCTAAGGCATGTACTCCAAGGGTAATGAATTAGAATGTCTTTTGGGAAAGCTTACTTGGCATTTCCAGTGGTCAGCCAGGTGTGGGAAACACTAATCTATTTTTCTTTGTAAATAAAGGCTGCATGGACTAGTTTTCGTTTTGTTTTGTTTTGTTGTTTTTCAAGATGGCGTCTAGCTCCATGGCCCAGGCTGGAGTACAGTGGCATGATATTGGCTCACTGCAACCTGTGCCCCTGGGTTCAAGCAGTTCTGCCTCAGCCTCCTGAGTAGCTGGGATTACAGGCTCCTGCCACCATGCCCAGCTAATTTTTGTATTTTTAGTGGAGATGGGGTTTCACCATGTTGGTCTGACTGGTCTTGAACTCCTGACCTCATGATCTGCCCACCTCGGCCTCCCAAAGTGCTGGGATTACAGGCGTGAGCCACTGTACCCGGACTGGACTAGTTTTTAAAAGTACAAAATATATTCCTCATAAGAAATAACATGGATTTGTAGGTCTCAAGGAAATTTAAGCTAAATAACATATAGAATAACATTCTTAGTTTAAATTTTCTTGGGACCTACAAATTCATGAAAATATTAAGCTTGATATTAGATTAAGCAACAGATCTATGCCCTGCAAAGCTTCATCCTCAAACCAAACATGCCTAACCCGAGTTCATCACTGAATTAGGATATACACTTCATTAAACATGAAATCATCAGTTACTCTAGAGGTTTTGCCTTTATTTACAAAACTCACTGCACTTAGCCTTGGTCTGAGACGCACATTCTCTGAAATGTGTCCTTGGCTTTATGCAGTGTTCTTCTGCTAATATTACCTCATTGCACCTCTAATATCCAGGGAATGGTTAGCATAAAGATTGCAAACTATAGCTATTAATTGTTCTCATTTGCAGGCTTCAGTTCTGTTTTTCATTTTGAGTAATAAAGATATTATAAAAAGGCATTCATGGGCCAGACTCAGTGGCTCATGCCTGTAATCCCACTTTGGGGGCCAAGGTGGGTGGATCACGAAGTCAGTAGTTCAAGACCAGCCTGGGCAACATAGTGAAACTCTGTCTCAACTAAACACACACACACACACACACACACACACACTAGCCAGGAGCAGTGGCAGGTACCTAGAGTCCCAGCTACTTGGGAGGCTGAGGCAGGAGAATACCTTGAACCCGGGAGGCAGAGGTTGCAGTGAGCCAAGATCTGTGGAGCTAATGCATCTTGAAAATGTATCTTCTACTGAGGTTCTTAAATCACTGAAAATTCAGGGTGTGCCCCAGAAATGCTGTTGCTGAGTATGAGCTAGATCCAAACCAGGCCACAAGTTTCGTTCAATCAGGCTGCCTTAGGAATTTGAGATTTGCTGTCTTATCTTTTATCTTTTTTAAATTAACCCTGTAGAGACTGGATTTTGCTGTGTTACCAAATATGATCTCAAACTCCTAGTCTCAAGTGACCCTCCTGCCTCAGCCTCCCACAGCACCAGGATTACAGGTGTGAGCCACCATGCCTGGCCAAGATTTATTCTTTTAAAAAAGTATTTTCTAGAAGTTAAAGGATAAAGGGCTACAGAATGTAACCTGAAGGGACTGGAGAGAGGAAAGATTGGATTTCTTAATATTTTACCTTTAGATGTGCTTGAGTAACGTAACACTAATTTAGCTTGCTTGCCCGCTTCCCAGGAAAAACTAGCTCCCAAGGCTGGTAGCTTATGGGGTCATGAATGTATGTTTTACCAGAGTTAGGCTGTCATCATTCCTCTGTTTCACCTAAAGGGAAAATATCTGAATTAACAGAAATCACACATGATAGATACATATACTTTCAAGAATATCTCACTCTATTGTCTGAATCTAAAACTTAAGTGGTTTCTGGTAGCAATGTATTATTCCGATAGAAAAAAAATAAATCATTTTATTGAAAACTTTTTTTTTGAAACATGGTCTCACTCTGCCACCCAGGCTGGAGTGCAGTAGTGCTAACACAGTTCACTGCAGCCTCGACCTCCTGAGTTCAACTTATCCTCCAACATCAGCCTCCCGAGTAGCTGGCACCACAGACATGTGCCACCACGCCTGGCTAATGTTTTGGTTTTTTTTTTAACTGTATAAAAACGGCATATTCTTTATTTTGCATGCTCTAATTTCAGAACAAAATGAACAAACGAAATAAAAAATCACAATACACAACATCCAATCCTACTGTCAGAGTAGGGAAAGAATGGGGGCTTGACACCCTTGTTTCCTGCCTTCAGGACAGAAAAACACCAGACATCAGCAAGGGGAGTCAGATGGGACAGGGGCACTCAAAGCTGCAGGGGGAGCCATGGGGACACTATACAAGGGCAGTTTTCCAACTATGAACTCCTAATCTACTTCTTTCATGCTAGATGCGTCCTCATCACCCTCAAGAGGAGGGATCTCATCAGGAACTGCAGCACTGGGTTCCTCTGCTGCCACTTCATCTTCATCAATACCTAGACCTAACTTGATCATGCGGTAGATGCGGTTGGAGTGGGTCTGGGGATCCTCAAGGGAAAAGCCAGAAGAGAGCAGGGCAGTTTCAAACAGCAGCACCACAAGGTCCTTGACTGCTTTGTCATTCTTGTCTGCCCAGCCTTCTGCCGCAGCGTCTCCACAATAGGGTGGTCAGGGTTTATCTCCAGGTGCTTTTTGGCCATCATGTAGCCCATGGTGGAGTTGTCCCGAAGTGCCTGGGCTTTCATGATCCACTCCATATTGGCTGTCCAGCCATAAGTGCTGGTCACAATGCAGCAGGGTGAAGACACAAGCCTATTGGAGATTGTCACCTTCCCCACCTTCTTATCTAAGATTTCTTTCATGAGCTTGCAGAGGTTCTCAAACTTTGCCTTGCTCTCTTCCATTTTCTTCTTCTCCTCCTCATGCTCCGGTAGCTCCAGACCGTCCTTGGTAACTGAGACCAGGCTCTTCCCATCAAACTCCTTTAGTTGCTGCACACAGTATTCGTCAATGGGCTCAGTCATATATACCACCTCAAAGCCCCGCTTCCGGATTCGCTCCACAAAAGCTGAATTGGCCACCTGCTCTTTGCTCTCACCAGTGATGTAATAGATGGACTTCTGTGTCTCCTTCATGCGAGAAACATACTCTGACAGGGATGTCATCTCATCTCCAGACTGGGAGGTGTGATAGCGCAGCAGCTCAGACAGGTGGCGTCGGTTAGTGGAATCCTCGTGAATTCCAAGCTTGAGATTTTTAGAGAATGCCTCATAGAATTTCTTATAATTCTCCTTGTCTTCCGCCAGCTCAGAGAAGAGCTCAAGACACTTCTTAACAATGTTTTTGCGAATGACTTTCAAGATTTTACTCTGCTGGAGCATTTCTCGGGAGATATTCAGAGGCAAATCCTCAGAGTCAGCCACACCACGGATAAAGTTGAGATACTCTGGTATCAACTCATCACAGCTGTCCATGATGAATACACGATGGACATAGAGTTTGATGTTGTTCTTCTTCTTGTTCTCAAAAAGGTCAAAGGGAGCCTGACGAGGAATGAATAGCAATGCCCTGAGTTCCAACTGACCTTCTACAGAAAAGTGCTTGACTGCCAAGTGGTCTTCCCAGTCATTGGTGAGGCTTTTGTAGAATTCTCCATACTCCTCTTGAGTGATGTCATCAGGGTTTCTAGTCCAAATAGGCTTGGTCTTGTTTAGTTCTTCCTGATCAATGTATTTCTCTTTGATCTTCTTAGTTTTCTTCTTCTTATCCTTACCACTATCATCCTTCTCGTCTGAACCCACATCTTCAATCTTGGGCTTTTCTTCATCATCTTTATCTTCCTCTTCTTTCTCACCTTTCTCTTCCTCTGCCTCATCATCACTAATTTCCTTCTCTCGTTCCTTCTCCAAATAAAGGGTGATGGGATAGCCTATGAACTGAGAGTGCTTCTTCACTACTTCTTTGACCCGTCTTTCTTCTAAGTACTGTCTGATCTTCTTTAAGGTGGAGGATCACTTTGGTACCCCTGCCAATGGGCTCACCATGGTCAGCACGCACAGTGAAGGAGCCTCCTGCAGAAGACTCCCAGGCATACTGTTCATCATTGTTGTGCTTTGTGATCACAACCACTTTCTCTGCCACCAGGTAGGCAGAATAAAAGCCAACACCAAATTGCCCAATTATGGAGATGTCTGCACCAGCCTGAAGAGCCTCCATGAATGCTTTAGTACCAGACTTGGCACTGGTTCCCAAATTATTTATGAGATCTGCTTTGGTCATGTCAGTGACTGTGTCTACCAAAGTCAAGGTACCTTCCTGAGGGTTGGGGATGATGTCAATTTTCAGCTCTTTACCACTGTCCAACTTGGAAGGGTCTGTCAGGCTCTCATAGCGAATCTTGTCCAAGGCATCAGAAGCATTAGAGATCAACTCCCGAAGGAAAATCTTCTTGTTGGAATAGAAGGTATTGATGATGAGAGACATGAGTTGGGCAATTTCTGCCTGAAAGGCGAAACTTTCCACCTCCTCCTCTCCATGGTGCACTTCCTCAGGCATCTTCAAAAGAAAAGGCTCACAGGTATTAGAAAGCAAGGTGGGCTGGCTGTCCAACACACACACGGCACAGGAGCAGCACCGAAGTGACTCGAGAGTGGTTTTTTTTTTTTTTTTAGAGATGGAGTCTCACCATGTTGCCACAACCTTTTTTAAATAACCAATAATTGATTTGGGTGAAATTTGCTCCTTGATTCAGTACCACTATTCCTGGAGAAGATCATATGAGAAAGGACCTACTCAGAGATGCTGCAGGAAGTCAGTTACCACTGAGACATCCATCATCACCCGGCTGTTTGAAGGGCAGCTCAGTTACAGCATCGTATGTTTAAAGTGTGAGAAATGCACCTACAAGAACGAAGTTTTCACTGTCCTCTCACTCCCCATTCCATCCGAATATGAATGTTCCCTTCAGGTAGGAATTCGGGATCCCTGGACACTTTGTCTTGCTATGCTCTCAGCCCTGGGTTTTCTAAGGGCTGTTTACTATATTTGTCTAGTATGAGAGATGGCTTTATAACTTTAATTTTAAAAGAAATAGGCTGGGCGCAATGGCTCATGCCTGTAATCCCAGCACTTTTGGAGGCCAAGGCAGGCAGATAGCACCTGAGGTCAGGAGTTCGAGACCACACTGGCCAACATGGTGAAATGCTGTCTCTACTAAAAATACAAAAATTAGTTGGGCATGGTGGCAGGTACCTGTAATCCCAGCTACTTGGGAGACTGAGGCACAAGAATCACTTGAACCCGGGAGGCAGAGATTGTAGTGAGATCACACCATTGCTCTTCAGCCTGGGTGACAGAATGAGTCTCTGTCCTAAATAAATAAATGAAATAAAGAGGAAGTCCATGATGATGGTATTTTTTTGTAGGGGATGTACTGGCCAAAAGTTACTATGAATTCAATCATATTTTTAAACGCACTCAACAAAATACCTGATTATAAAACTGGAGGAAGATGGCAGCAAAACACACTGCCATGTGTGTACCTATGCTACTATCTTGCACGATCTGCACATGTACCCCACAACCTAAAATGCAATAAAAAAAAACTGGAAATACTGTGGGATTTATTTAGTCTATTGAAATAGCTTTGTGCATATAAGAAATTTATAATTTTTTCCAAAAAGTTTAGACCCTCCCTCACGCCAGAGGGGTCTGTAAGGCCCAGACTGGGAACTAGCTATTAAAAATTCTAGACTCAGGCCGGGCGCAGTGGGCTCATGCCCATAATCCCAGCACTTTGGGAGGCCAAGGCAGGTGGATCACGAGGTCAAGAGATCAAGACCATCCTTGCCAACATGGTGAAACCCCGTCTCTACTAAAAATACAAAAAGTAGCTGGGCATGGTGGCACGCGCCTGTAGTGCCAGCTACTCGGGAGGCTGAGGCAGGAGAATCGCTTGAACCTGGGAGGGGGAAGTTGCAGTGAGCTGAGATTGCACATTGCACTCCGGCCTGGCAACAGAGCAAGATTCCATCAATTCTAGACTCTTAGTCTTGAGCTCTTATATTTTGGACTAAAGCTGTGAAATGTTTTGGAAAGAGAGAATGGAATCTATTGCCTTGGTTTACCTCTCGAATTTTCTTCACCATAATGCCAAAAGTTCATCTGTAAGTGGGGATGTGGGCGTGGGGTGGGTGGCAGTAGAAGGCAGGCAGCAATAAGGAGTAAACAAGGGACAGACACCAAAAAAACTTTCTGCAGAATTATACAAACGTGTACTTTTTCTTCCTAAATTATGATAGCACATCTATTGCTGAAAGTTTCACTTACCAGAGATGGGGTTTCACCATATTGGCCAGACTAGTCTTGAATCCCTGACCTCAAGCAATCCACCCACCTCAGCCTCCCTAAGGGCTGGTATTACAGGCATGAGCCACTGTGCCTGCCATGTGTTTAATTTCAAATTCCATTTGTTTAAAGCTGATGAGTAATATACTTTCTCAATATTAATCTTGTATTCTACAATCTTGCTTTAATTGTTATTTCCAAGAGATTTTTTTGTTGATTTCTTCAGATTTTCAACATATACAATCATGTCACCTGTAGACAAAGGCAGTTTTACTTCTTACTTCCCAATCTGTATACCTTTTATTTTCTTGTCTTATTTTAGCTAGGACTTCTAATACAATGTTGAAACATAGTGGTGAGGGAGGGAGTCGGGCAAAAAAAAAGAAGAAAAGAAAAGTGGTGGTGAGAGGGGACATCCTTGCCTTCTTCCTGACTGTAGTGGGAAAGCTTCTACTTACTCACCATTAGCTATGATGTTAGCTGTGGATTATTTGTAGACATTCTTTATTAAGTTGAAGAAGTTCTCCTTTATTCTTAGTTTACTGAGAGTTTTTATCTTGATGGGTGTTTTTCTGTGTCTGTTGATTTGATTGTGTGTATGATTTTTTTCCCTTTAACCTAATTATATGATAGATTTCATTAATTTTTCCAATGTTGGACCAGCCTTGCATACTGGGATAAAGGTATGTAGCTAGGACTATAGGTGTAAGCCACAATGCCCAGTTAATATTTTAAAATATTTTTGCAGAGATGATGACTCACTATGTTGCCTTGAACCCTTGGGCTCAAGAGAATCGCCCACCTTGGCTTCCCAAAGTGCTGGGATTACAGGGGTGAGCCACGTGGCCAGCCCATTTTCAAATTTCTTTCAAGGTACCTTCTTTGACTTGTGTTATTTGGAAGCATGTTGTTTAATCTCCATGTATTTTGGGATTTCCTAGATATCTTTCTGTTTTTCCATTTTAGTTTAATTCCACTGTGGTCTGAGAGCAGAGATTATATAATTTCTATTATTTTAAATTTGTTAAAGTGTGTTTTAACAAGCACACCTTAGGCCAGAAGGTCTAAGTTATTCTTATTTAGCCTAGCTAGAGGCTTGGTGAATGTTCCATGTGAGTTTGAGAATAATATATATTCTGCGGTTGTTGGGTGAAAGAATCTATAGATGTCAGTTATTTCTATGGACAGGTGGTGGTGCTGAGTTGAACTATATCCTTACTAATTTTCTGCCTGCTGGATCTGTCCATTTCTGACAGAGGTGTGTTTATATCTCCAATTATAAAAGTGGATTTATCTATTTCTCCTTGCAGTTCTATCCATTTTTTTTTTTTTTTTTTTTTTTGGTGAGACATAGTTTTGCTCTGTCACCCAGGCTGGAGTTCAGTGCTGCAGTCTTGGCTCACTGCAGCCTCTGCCTCCTGGGGTTCAAGCAATTCTTGTGTCTCAGCCTCCTGAATAGCTGGGACTACAGGTGTGCAGCACCACAACTGGCCAATTTTTGTATTTTTAGTAGAGATAGGTTTTCACCATGTTGGTCAGGCTGGGCTTGAAGTCCTAATCTCAAGTGACCTGCCAGCCTTGGCCTCTCAGAGTGTTGGGATTACAGGCATGAGTCACTAAGCCTAGCCAGTTTTTCCTCATGTATTTTGACACTGTGTTGTTAGGTGCATAAACATTACAAATTTCTGTGTCTTCTTGAAAAATTGATCCCTTTATCATTATGTATGGCCCCTTTTATCCTCAATCACTTTCTTTGCTTTGAAGACTGCTCTGTCTGAAATTAATATAGCTACTCCCACATTCTTAGTGGTAGGATGATATATTTTTCTCCATCTGTTTACTTTTAGTCTCTGTGTGTCTTTATATTTTAAGTATATTTCTTGTACATCATATATAATTGAGTTTTATTTTTGATTCACTGTGACAATCTGTCTTTTAATTAATGTATATAGACCATTGACATTCCAAGTGATTATTGCTGTTGGGTTGAATGTCTGTCATATTTGTTACTGCTTTCTATTTGTTGCCCTTGTTGTTTGTGTTTCTATTTTATCTACCACACTTTTCCTGCTTTTTGTGGTTTTAACTGAGCATCTTATGAGACTCCATTTTCTCTCCTTTATTACCACATCAGTTATACTTTTTAAAACATTTTTTAGATTCTGGGCACAGTGGCTCATGCCCATAATCCCAGTACTTTGGGAGGCCGAGGCGGGTGGATCACCTGAGGTCAGTTGTTCAAAACCAGCCTGACCATCATGGAGAAACCCCATCTCTACTAAAAATACAAAATTAACCAGGTGTGGTAGTGCATGCCTGTAATCCCAGCTACTCAGGAGGATGAGGTAGGAGAATTGTTTGAACCCGGAAGGTGGAGGTTGTGGTGAGCCGAAATCTCACCATTGGACTCCAGCCTGGGCAACAAGAGAGAAACTGTCTCAAAAAAAAAATTTCTTTTTTAGTGGTCGCCCTAGAGTTTGCAATATTCATTTACAATTAATCTATGTCCACTTTCAAATAACACCATACTGCTTCCCTTGTATCATAGCTGTTATTTATTTCATTTATATTTAAAGATATACAAGAATATATATGATATATACATAAGGATACATAATTGAATATATTGTTGCTATTATTGTTTTGAGTAAACTGTTACGTTTGATTAATTATAATAAAAATAAACATTTAAATTTTACCCTCACTTATTCCTTCTTCAGTGCTCTTTATGTAGATCCAAGTGTTTGGCCTATATCATTTTCCTTCTCTGTAAAGAATTTCTTTTAAAATTTCTTTTTTTTTTTGAGATGGAGTCTCACTCTGTCACCCAGCCTGGAGGGCAGTGGTGCGATCTCGGCTCACTTAACTTATGCCTCCTGGGTTCAAGCAATTCTCCTGCCTCAGCCTCCAGAGTAGCTGGGACTACAGGCCCACACTACTATGCCAGGCTAATTTTGTATTTTTGGTAGAGACAGCATTTCACCATGTTGGCCAGGCTGGTTTTGAACTCCTCACCTCAACTGATCCACCCGCCCCGGCCTCCCAAAGTGCTGGGATTACAAGCGTCAGCCACCGCACCTGGCCTCTTGGAACATTTCTTGCAAGGCAGGTCTACTGGCAACAATTTCCCTCACTTTTTGTCTAATGAAGTCTTTATTTCTCTTCACTTTTGAAGATTAATTTTACAGGGTACAGAATTCTATCTAGTCTGGTGGGTTTTTTCCTTTTAACACCTTCAGTATTTTATCCCACTTTCTTCTTCTTTGCGTGGTTTCTGAGAAGTTAGTTGTAATTCTTATGTTTGCTCCTCTAGAGGCGTGGTTTTTCCCGACTCCCACTCTGGCTTCTTTTAGGATTTTTTTCTTTATCTTTGATATTCCGCAGTTTGAAAATGAAATGCCTAGGTGTCATTTTTCTGGCATTTATCTTTCTTGGTGTTCTCTGAGCTTCCTGAATCTGTGGTTTGGTGTATGGCATTAATTTGGGAAAATTGAGTCATTATTGTTTCAGATACTTTTTTCTGTTCTTTTCTCTTTCTTTTCCTTTTGGTATTTCCATTACACAGATGTTACATCTTTGCAGTTGTCCCACAGTCCTTGGATATTGTTGTGCTTTTTATCCGGTCTATTTTCTTTCTTTTTTTTTTTTTTTTTAGTAGAGATTGGGGGTGGGGTGGGGGCACTCTGACTTTGTTGCCCAAGCTGGTCTCAAACTCCTGGGCTCAAGCGATTCTCCCACATTGGCCTACCAAAGTACTGGGAATACAGGTGTGAGCCACTTAGCCCGGCCAGTCCCTTTTCTTTCTTCTTTTCAGTTGTAAAGGTTTCTGCTGAGGTTCCTCAAGTGCAGTAGAAATTCTTTCTTCAGCTGTGTCCAGTCTACTAATAAGCCCATCAGAGGCATTCTTCATGTGTTAGTGTTTTTTTAACATCTAGCATTAAAAAAAAAAAAAAACTAACCACTATACGAACAAGGATATCTCTAGCATTTTTTTTAATTTAAAGTAACCGCTATACTAACAAAGATCCCTCTAGCATTTCTTTTGGTTCGTTCTTTGGATTTCCAAGTCTCTACTTACATTGACCATATATTCTTGCATGCTTTATTCATTAGAACCCTTAGTGTGTTAATCAGTCTTAAATTCTCAGCCTGATAATCCCACACTCTGTCTGGTTCTGATGCTTACTGGCTCTTCAAACTGTGCTTTTGCCTTTTGGTATGCCTTGTAATTTTTTCCTGATAGCCAGATATGATGAACTGGGTAAGCGAACCTGACGTAAATAGACCTTAATGACATGGTGTAAGGCAGAGTGGGAGGGGAAGCATTCTGTAATTCTGTCAGTGAGTCTCAGTCTTCTTTTTTAGATGCAGTCTCACTCTGTTGCCAGGCTGGAGTGCAGTGGTGCAATCTCGGCTCACTGCAACCTCCAACTCTCTGGTTCAAGTGATTTTCCTGCCTGAGCCTCCCGAGTAGCTGGGATTACAGGCACCCGCCGCCATGCCCAGCTAATTTTTTTATTATTATTATTTTTTAGTGGAGACAGGGTTTCATCATGTTGGCCAGGATGGTCTCAATCTCCTGACCTAATGATCTGCCCCCCTCAGCCTCCCAAAGTGCTAGGATTATAGGTGTGAGAGGTCTCAGTCTTTTAATGAAACTATGCCTCCAGACTCCGAACTTCGTAAGTGCTCCTCAGTCCCTCCACACCCTCTTTGGTGGAACAGGATGGTTAGAGTGGGCTGGAGTTGGGTATTTTCCTTCCCCCAGATTAGTTAAGCGCTGATGAAACTCCAGCAGGTTAGGCTCTGGTTGATGAGTTTCTCCTGTGGGCAGGCATTGTTAAGAAGAGGGTGCTCTAGCGTATTTCAGAATGGTTTCTTTCCGTTCTTCCTGCCCGAAGCATGAGAATATTTGTCTCCAATATTTACCATGACAGTGTGGTTGGGCTCCTGGAAGGAAAACTCACAAAGTGTGGGCCCCCCTGTGACTGGGTTCCTTGGAGTTTTTAACTCTCAGACTCTGTACTGAGCCTCCAGCAATTCCTCAATTACAGTTCAGGTTTTCCTGCGCAGACCTGTTTCCTCAGAAGTTTTTGCTCTGCAGTTTTGGCTCTCGTAAGTTTGTGATTCTCTATGTTTGCTGGTCTGTTTTTCCAGTTTGGGGGCGGTGGTTTGTCCTGTGACCTTACTGCTCTGTCAGATCTAAGATAAGCTGTTTTTTTTAATTTCAGTTAATTCTTTCCTCCCAGGAGGAAGGAAAATAATCAACAGCTTTATTTAGCTATTAACTTCCTGTTAGGACAGAATGGTGACTTCCGAGTTTCCTTACTCGTAGAACTGAAAACTAGATGTCTCTCATCATGACTTTTGGTGTTCAAATTGTTTAAAATTGGCCAGTGGGAGCCCCTTCAAGTCAGCTTCTGGGACCCCCATTAGTTTATTATGGTATGCTTACACAAAATGTGGTCTTTTTAGGTGCATAGTTCCATGAATTCTGACAAATGTGTGCAGTCATGTAACCACTACAACCAACATATAGACCATTTCCATCACTCCAAAAAGGTCTCTCATGTTCCTTTCTAATCACTTTCCTCCCCAACCCTAAGCCTACAGAAATTGCTAATCTGATTTCCATCCCTATAACTGTGTTTTCCAGAATGTGCTATGTCATACTGTATGTAGCTTTTAGAGTTTTTTTTTCACTTAGCATGATGCTTTTAAGGCACGTGTTGTTGTGTGCATTAGTGGTTCCTTTTTTATCGCTGTGTGCTATTCCTTTTTGTAAATATATGACAGTTGTTTATGTCTCCACCAGTTGTTGGATGTTTGGGTTGTTTACAGTTTTGAGTAGTTAGGAATACAGCTTCTACAAATACTAGCAGGTTGTTATGTGGGCCTCAGTCTTCATTTCTCTTGGGATGATACTTAGGTATAGAATTGCTTGTTCACATGGCATTCTCCTAGTTTTTGCAAACAAGGTATTTTGCTTTTTGGCACATGAGTGTCTTGGTCTCAGTAATTTCCCAGCCTCAGACCTACATAAGCTGTTTTTCCAAAATGAATGTAATTATTTTTTAAAAAAGCTTCTGAGTAACTCTGATGTAAGCCCAGATTTGCAGACTTATGATCTATGTAACAATACAGAATGTGAAAGATTTTTCACAAAATGTTCTTATTAAAACATTTAAAAAAAAAAACCCCTCAGCTTGAAAACAGGACATTGCCAAGACTACCTGTGCTGAAATCAAGATAAGGAAAAGCTGAGCCAACCTGGTTAGAATAAATAGGCTCAGTTGGAGCAAAAGCCTCAGGAATTATCAGCGGGGTTTCCTCTTCCCCCAGTGCTGTGCCTTGGATGTTCCTTTCTTTTTTTTTTTTTTTTTTTTTTTTTTTAAGACAGAGTTTCGCTCTTGTTACCCAGGCTGGAGTGCAATGGCGCGATCTCGGCTCACTGCAACCTCCGCCTCCTGGGTTCAGGCAATTCTCCTGCCTCAGCCTCCTGAGTAGCTGGGATTACAGGCTTGAGCCACCGCGCCCGGCCGGATGTTCCTTTCTTTTTGCCCCACTAGATTTAGCTTAGCTTGAATCTTTATGATCTCACTGACTGATTAAAATTCCAGTCTCATTTTGGTGAGGCTTGTGGATGTGGTATTTAAATAGATAAGAAAAAAGTAATTTATCTATAAGTCTGTATCAAATAATATTTCCAATAAATTATTATTTTTATTATTTTTGAGATGGAGTCTCACTCTGTTGCCTAGGCTGGAGTATAGTGGTGCAATCTCGGCTCACTGCAACCTCTGCCTCCCGGGTTCAAGCTATTCTTCTGCCTCAGCTTCCTGAGTAGCTGGGACTATAGGTGTCCACCACCATACCTGGCTAATTTTTTGTATTTTTAGTAGAGATGGGGTTTCACTCTGTTAGCTAGGATGATCTCGATTTCATTACATCAAGTGATCTGTCACCCAGGCTGAAGTGCAATAGTGCCATCTCGGCTCACTGCAACCTCCGCTTCCCAGGTTCAAGTGATTATCGGGCCTCAGCCTCCTGAGTAGTTGGGATTTCAGGCATCCACCACCATACCTGGCTAATTTTTTGTATTTTTAGTAGAGTTGATGTTTCACCGTGTTGGCCAGACTGGTTTCAATCTTCTGACATCAAGTGATCCACCCACCTCAGCCTCCCAAAGTACCAGGATTACAGATGTGAGCCACTGTGCCTGGCAAGAAATTACTTTTTTTAGAAACAGGGTCCCACTCTGTCAGCCAGGCTGGAGTGCAGTGCTGAACCACAGCTCACTGCAGCCTCAACCTCCCTACACTCAGGTGATCCTCCTACCTTAGCCTTCTGAGTAGCTGGGACTACAAGTTAAGAATTCTATGTAGAAAAAAAAGATGAAAAAAAAAAAAAAAGCTATGTAGAGAAGGAGTTTTGCCATGTTGCTCAGGCTGGTCCCAAACTTCTATGCTCAAGGGATCCACCCACATTGGCCTCCCAAAGTGCTGGGATTACAGGCATGAGCCACTGTGCACAGCCAAGAAATTGCTTTTAAAATACTTGGAATTTGTCATGCAGAGTTTATTAATGAGTGGTTCACAAGCTTTGTATTTTACACATGTATTATTCCTGCAGGTTTGACAGTCAGGGTGCAATGAAAAGGAAGCTGAGAATGGATATTCCTTACCCACTCACTAACTTGGACCTCACTCTTTATATTTCCCCAATTTTCCAGAAACATCCTAAATACAACCTCTGTGCAGTGGTGGTGAGTAAAAAACTGTTAAAAGTAACTGAATTTAAAGAAAACTCTAGAATTATCTGCTTGAATCCCTATTTCTCCTGTCTCTCCCTGACTTCTCTTATGTTCTACTTTTAAAAAACACAGACTAGGAAACTCCACTTTGACCTAGACAAGTGGAGGAGCAAAGAAATACAATGTACTGTTCACTGCCTCTTCACTTTCTCTCCACTCAATGGCTAGTTCAGATCTAAGGATACTTGCAAATTGTGCTCCTAGGGGCAGCAGCAGAAATTGGTTCCAATAGCTTAAAACTGTTTTTCAGACAGGGCCTTGCTCTATTGCCCAGACTGGAGTGCTGTCAGTGGTGTGATCATAGCTCGCTGCAGCCTCCAACTCCTGGGTTCAGGTGATCCTCCCCAGGTAAGTGAGACTACAGGCATGTGCCACCATTTTTTTTTTTTTTAAGAGTAGAGATGAAGTCTCACTAGGCTGCCCATGCTGGTCTTATACTCCTGGGCTCAAGTGACCCTCCTGCCTTGGCCCCTTAAAGTGCTGGGATTATAAGCATTAGCCACCATGCCCAGCCTCCGATAGCTTTACGTTGAATAACCATGAACCACTTTGTGGCCAAAGCTCCAAAACAGTAGGTACATAGTAGCCACAAGATTCAATGCCTATAAATAGCCAAGACTTAAACTCTGGGGTCCCTATGGTTCTGAGTCAGCTATAATAAACGAAGATCTCCTGAAGGAAATAAAGCATGGAGTATAATTCAGACCAAGTCACCGGAACTCACACCAACCATCCCCAAAGTAGCAAACCATACTCGGGGTTTCTGAATCCCAGTGTTGAAGATCTGTTTCAGAACATGCTCATATTTCACACTGTACCTGGAGGCCCAGTTGTGTCTGTATCAAATGGTTGAGGCTCCCATTGGAGCCCAGTAAGATTCAGCAGAGTCCACTGAAGTCTAATTTGCCTCTTCAGCTTATTGTTGAATTAATATATTCTAAAATGTTAACCCCATTGGTCTTCCTCATTAGCAGCTCTCAGAACCGTAAGTCCACACTTTAACAAAATTATCAGTTCTGTATTTTGCATTTTTACTTCGAGCCTTGACCTTCTCCTTTCCAATGTATCCTGCTCCCAAGTATGGTTTTTCTTTTTTCTTTTTTTTGAGACAGTTTCGCTCTTGTTACCCAGGCTGGAGTGCAATGGCGCGATCTCAGCTCACTGCAACCTCCGCCTCCTGGGTTCAGGCAATTCTCCTGCCTCAGCCTCCTGAGTAGTTGGGATTACAGGCATGCGCCAACGTGCCCAGCTAATTTTTTGTGTTTTGAGTAGAGACGGGGTTTCACCATGTTGACCAGGATGGTCTCGATCTCTTGACATCGTGATCCACCCACCTCGGCCTCCCAAAGTGCTGGGATTACAGGCTTGAGCCACCGCACCCGGCAAGCATGGTTTTTCTTCCCTCACTTCCTTGCTCAGGAATCTAGAGGTGCATCCTCTTCTCTATTACATCAAATGTAGACTCTAGATTCCCAAGCAGTGCAGGAGCTGCCTCCCTTATAGTTTACTATTTTTATTTCTCATATGGATTTTCTGCTTTAAGAAAATCCAAGGACCGGGCACAGTGGCTCACGCCTGTAATCCCAGCACTTTGGGAGACTGAGGTGGGTGGATCACCTGAGGTCAAGAGTTCAAGACCAGGCTGATCAACATGGAGAAACCCCATTTCTACTAAAAATACAAAATTAGCCAGGCATGGTGGCACATGCCTTAACCCAGCTGCTTGGAAGGCTGAGGCAGGAGAATCACTTGAACCCAGGAGGCGGAGGTTGCGATGAGCTGAGATTGTGCCACTGCACTCTAGCCTGGGCAACAACAGTGAAACTCCGTCTCAAAAAAAAGAAAAAAGAAAATCCAAATGATAAAAATCTGTATTTAATATAAAAATTGTAACTATTGCCAGGCTCAGTGGTCCCTCTTGTATTAATTTCAGCAATTCTGGAGGCTAAGGTAGAAGGGTTGCTTGGGGTCAGGAGTTAAAGACCAGTGAGCTATGATTGCTCCTCTGCACTCCAGCCTGGGTAACCAGGGCGAAACTCCATCTCAAAAAAAAAAAAAAAGTAATTACGTGCATTATGGAAATATATATATTTATATAAAACATCACCACCCCAAACCTCGTATAAATTCTTAGTCCTAGACTTAGTCCTTAGGCACAGTAGCTCACGCTTGTAATCCCAGCACTTTGGGAGGCCAAGGTAGGAGGATCACTTGAGTCCAGGAGTTCAAGACAGCCCCAGCAATATGGCAAAACTCTATCTCTACAAAAATAAAATAAAAATCTTAGTCCTTAGTGGTTTTAGTATTCAAACTATTGTTGGTTAATTATGGGGCCAAAAGTTGGTTTTGAGAGAAAACTATATTTAGAATTTGCTGCAAATTGATAATTCATCAGAAATAAGAACTAAGTATCTTTGAGGCTGGGTACAGTGGCTCACATCTATAATCTCAGCACTTGGGAGGTCGAGGCAGGTTGATCACTTGAGGTCTGGAGTTTGAGACCAGCCTGGCCAACATGGCGGAACCCTGTCTCTACTGAAAATACAAAAAATTTAACTGGGTGTGGTGGCATGCGCCTGTAATCTCAGCTACTGGGGAGACCGAGGCAGGAGAATTGTTTGAACCCAGGAGGCAAGACTGGGCCACTGCCCTCCAGCCTGGGTGACAAAGTAAGATTCAGTCTCAACAACAACAACAACAACAACAACAACAACAACAACAACAACAACTAAGCATCTTTGAAATTGTGATGTATGACAGTAGGAATAAAACCGTCTAGAGCTTTGCTACTCAAAGTGTGGTCTTCTGCTCAAGCCTGTAATCCCAGCACTTTGGGAGGCCGAGGCGGGTGGATCATGAGGTCAAGAGATCGAGACCATCCTGGTCGACATGGTGAAACCCCGTCTCTACTAAAAATACAAAAAATTAGCTGGGCATGGTGGCGCGTGCCTGTAATCCCAGCTACTCAGGAGGCTGAGGCAGGAGAATTGCCTGAACCCAGGAGGCGGAGATTGCGGTGAGCCGAGATTGCGCCATTGCACTCCAGCCTGGGTAACAAGAGCGAAACTCCGTCTCAAAAAAAAACAAAAACAAAACAAAACAAAAAAACCAAAGTGTGGTCTTCTGGAGAACAGTAGCATTGGCACTTGCTAAAAATAAAGAATCTCAGGTCCCACCACAGGCTCACTGGCTTAGAATTTGCATTTTAATATGATCCCTGTGTGGGTTTTGTGCATATTTAAGTTTAAGAAGCATACATCTCTAAACTAGAAGAGAAGATACCCCTGCACCATCCTTAAGAGATTTATCCAGCCTTTGCATGAGCCCTTGAAGAGTATGCTGCCTTTCAAGTCAGGCTCTTTAACTGCTAGATTCTTTGTTAGATTTATTTTATGAACATTTACATAGTGTTTCTTATATATCAGGCACTGTTCTAAGCACTTTATAAATAACCATTTAATCCTTATTCCAGCCTACAAGGTGGGCACTCTATATTATTCCCATTTTACAGAATGGGAAACAGGCACAGAGAGGTTAAATGATTTGCCCCAAGTCATACTGCCTACAAAGAGCAGAGCCAAGCACTGAACGCAGGAAGGCTGGCTCCAAACTGTCCTACTCTCATCTCTGACACTGTGCTGCCTCTGATTGTTCAACATGTCTCTGTATATTGAGCCCAAATCTACCTTCCTCCTTGTACTTTGTTCCTGTTTGTCCTAATTCTGTCTTCTGAAGCAGTGATGGTAATATGTATGTGGCCTATAGTTAACAAATGCTCGTACATATGCATTAGCAAAGCAGAATACCTTTTCTTATACATGTTCCTTCAAATATTTGAAAATGGCAATCATAGGCTAACAGTATCTAATTCCTTCAACCTTCCTCAAAGTATTGGTTTCTAGAAAGAGTCTTTTTTAGAATTATGAAATATTTCAGTCACAGAAATATGAATGAACTAATTCATACTATTGACCACCTAGGTTAAGAAATAAAATACAAGCCAGGAGCAGTGGCTCACACCTGTAGTCCCAGCACTTTGGGAGGCTGAAGCAGGAGGATTGTTTGAGCTCAGGAGTTTGAGACCAGCCTGGGCAATATGGTAAAATCCCATCTCTACAAAATAATACAAAAATTAGCCGAGCATAGTGGTGCACACCTGTGGTCCCTGCTACTTGAAGGGCTGATGTGGGAGGATTGCTTGAGCCTGGGAGGTTGAGGCTGCCGTGAACTGTGATAATGCCACTGCACTCCAGCCTGGGCAACAGAGGGAAACCCTGCCTAAAATATAATAATGTAAAATAATACTATAGGTAAAAGAAAATCCCCCTATGTATCTTTAATGATCCTACTCCCTTCCATTTCCTGATGTACCCATTCCCTGGAATTTGGTGTATATTATTCCCATGCATTCTTTTCTGCAAATGTTTGCATTCTCTATTTTGCATGTTTTCTATATCTGATATCATACTGTCTAGCTGCTCTTTCTCTTCAATGTTATCTTTAATGATATTAATCCATCAGTACATTAGCTTTTTAACTTACTAATATTACTTTTAATTGATAAATCAAAATTTTTTACATTAATGGAGTATGATGTGATGTTTTATACACACACACGCACACACACAATGTGGAATGATTCAATCAAGCTAACATATTCCTCACCTATTTTTTGTGGTGAGGCTCAGCTATTTTGAAATATACAATACATTTTATTGACTGTGGTCACTCTGCCATGCAATAGATCTCAAACCTCCTCACTGAAACCTTATGCCTTTTGATGAAAAACATCTCATTCCTCACTCCCTTCCCTAGCATGTGGTAACCACCATTCTACTCTCTACTTCAGTGAGTTTAGCTTTTTTAGATTCCACTTATAAGTGAGATCATATAGTATTTGTCTTCCTGTGACTGGCTTCTTTCACTTAGCATAGTGTCCTCCAGTTCCATCC